AGAGCAACACCAGGAAACCCACTATTTGTGCCTGTCATCAGGAACGTCGGATCATGGGGCAAAAACCTGGTGTCACCCAAAACCGCACTACGAGCACCTAAACAAGTATCACACATATTACATACGACATCAACAGGCCCAGGCATATCGCCTGTAGTTCACCAAAAGACTACCAACATGACCCAAAGACTAAATAGGAACGAAGGGCAATGCACTCCTATTGTCATCTGGCAAGATCTCCAAATCATAGCGATGTCCTGGTAACAAAAGCGAGATATACGAGACCTATGGTAGCTTTTCTTTCTGCCGTGACCGCCCATGGTCGGGTTCGGCGGACCGCATAGCATCATCATCTGGGAGGTATTCTCCTTCAACATCTCCGCGCCCCTCTTCACCATCTCACCCATCTCAGGCTTATACAAACCTACCCAATAAATCAAAAAGGCAAAAGGTGTAAACACAATCTCAAATGGAGTGTTAATCCATTTGTGTTCGAAAGTGGCGCGGTTCCAAGCCAGCCAAATGGCCCAACATATAGTTGCCAAACCAATAGTGTACAATCTATCAAAGCCAGGTACAATGCTATACACCCAAGTATAGTATTGCCAAACATAATTGGGGCAACATTCAATTCCTAGTAGAGAACCAACAATTCTCAACACCACTCTAGAAACGGGACACGGGAACAACATGTGCTAAGATGTTTCCAACTGATCACAAAAATAGCAGCCAGGGTCCCCTGGCCATAACCTTTTTTCATGTTGTCTCTAGTTAGGATAGCATTCTGACATACTTGCCACAAGAAAATTTGGATCTTAAGAGGTAATTGGGCATCCCAAATCTATTTGAAGTTTTAACCAGCAAGGTCTCTCTCCAGCCATCTATACATAGATTTTGTGGTATACTTTTTTGAACTGTCTAGTTTCCAATACACCTCATCGGGGAGTTCATTTTGTCTTAGCATTAACACATCATTTTCAATTCTTCCCACTATTTCATCATCTCAGGAGACATCCTTCTCCTAAAAGAGGAAATATGGTTCAAGGACCCAATTTTTTCAATAGTACAGTTTTGTTCAACACATATTTCAAACAACAATTAAAAGGAATCCAACCCTCCAATTCATCCAACCAGAGTCTAGTCACATCCCCACTACTCAGTTTGATCCCTCTGCCCATCATATAAAAGTCCTTCACTTTCAAAAGAGATTTCCAACATGGCGAGTCACTAACTTTTGATTTTACCATAGCAATAGAGGATTTTTTTTAAGTATTTTACCTTAACAATATCTTGCCAAAATCCCTTATTTTTATCAAGTTTCCACCACCATTTCACTAAAAAAAACTTATATTTTGTTTTCTCAAGTCCTTCACCCCAAGGCCCCCTTTCTTTTTGGATCTACAAATACGACTCCACTTTACCATATGATAACCCTTTTTTCTTTACTATGCGAGAAAAAATTTCTTCTAGGTTTGTCCCACTTCTCCAAAGTGGTTTTATTTAGCAAGAACATAGACATGTAAAAAGTCGGGACATGTGACATCACATAATTCACTTTTATAAGCCTTCCTCCTATAGAGAGCACTTCACTAAACCAATTCTCAAATTGATAGATGAATTTATCATCCACAAAAAGCCAATCACTGCATTTCAAACCAGCATAGCTAACGGGCATTCCTAGGTATTTAATAGGGAAAGAACCTATTTGGCAATTAAACATCTCGACGTACATTTGCCTAGTATCATCATCAGCACGAACCGAAAAAACTCACTTTTCAAGAAATTGATTTTCAGCCCAGACATGATTACAAAAAGATATAAGAGCAACTTGATATTAACAGCATTTCTGGGATTATATTCAAAGCATAAAGTTGTATCATCTGCATACTGTAAAATGGCTACCCCATGTGGAATCAGGTCAGCCGCTAAACCCTTAAACAAGCCATTTTGTTTAGCCTTAAGTACCCTTTTAGTCAGGTAGTCCACAGCAAGATTAAAAATGAAAGGGGAAAATGGATCCCCCTGACGCACCCCTTTCGAGCTTTGAAAGTAGGGCCCAATCTCATCATTAAGTTTCACACTAACCGTGCCTCCTACTAGGATTTTTCTCACCCATTCAATCCATTGCAGATGAAACTCTCTCATTTTGTGGCAATCTAGCAATAATTCCCAGTTTACTTTGTCATATGCCTTCTCAAAGTATAGTTTAAGAACACTTCCAGATTTTCTTCTAACATAAGTGTGGTGGAGGATTTCATGTAGGGACATAATCCCATCCATGATATCGTGCTTTTTGGTAAAAGCATTCTGGTGTCTACTGAACAGGATATCAACAAAAGGTTCCAAACTAATAGTAAGCACTTTGGTAATCAACTTATAAATGTAATGAAGTAAACATATCGGGCGAAATTGTTGTATTTTATTCGCACCAGCAACTTTATGAAGCAGTGTAATAATACCATAGTTCAAGCGTTGCACATCCAGTTTATTATCATGAAACCACTCAAATAAAAGCATCACCTCACCTTTGACAATCTCCCAACAATGTTGGAAAAACTCAATAGGAATGTTATCTAGACCTGGTACTTTGTTTGGTGTCACAGAGAAGAGAGCATTTTTTATCTCAGTTTCAGAAAAGGGTCTAGTGAGAATAAAATTATCAATATCTGACAGCTTCTCATTTGGTTCCCACATTTTTTCACCCTACTTACAAAGATTCCCGGTTGCAGGCCCAAAAAGGTCTTTGTAGAATTCGATAGCATGTTTCAATAAATATTTGGTCCCCTCTATCACCGCATCACCACAACTAAGAGAGAATATGGTGTTCCTCTGTCTCCTCCCATTCACTATTCTATGAAAATAGTCAGTGTTTCTATCCCCTTTCAACAACCAACTTTCATGAGACTTTTGCAACCAAGCAATTTCCTCTTCAACCGGGAGATTATAAAGCTCCACCAAAATTTCAACTTCCCTACAATACAATTCAGGAGATAGCACATCTGCTTCTTCTAGTTTCTCTAGATACTCCAGTTCCTCTCTTAGTTCTCTCCTCTTTTTTCTAGATTTCCCAAAAATACTGGACCCCCAGCCTTTAAAAAACTTCTTAAATCTCTTCAACTTAATGTTCAAGATATCAATGGGATCATTGGATTTAGCAGGTTTCACCCACACCTTAGCAACAAAGGGAAGAAAATCAGGATTCTTGAGCCAATTCAAATCAAATCTAAATTCTCTTTTCTGCACGGGAGTAGGGATAAAATCTTCATTATTCAGAATCAGGGGGCAGTGATTTGAAATTTCTTTAACCAGCTTTCTAACAAAAGTCAAAGGGAATTTTTTCCAACCTTTCAAGGGTAGGATTTTGCTGATTATTAGACCAAGTATATATACCACCATTCATGTCTACTTCTCTTAGGCAAAAGGAATTGATGATAGAATTAAAGAGATCAGAAGAGTGACTTACTCTAGTTTTCTTGTTCTTCTCACTAGCATATCTAAGGAAATTAAAAGCACCTCCCACAATATAAGGGCATGAAATATTGCTACACATGTCAGAAAGCTCAGTCAAAAACTCCACTTTATATTCCTCATGTGGAAATCCATAACTACAAGAATAAAGTAATTAATTTTTTACTTGTATCCCACAACTCAAGTTTGATATATATTTTCCTGCCTTGTAGGACCTAATATCAAAAGTATCATGTTTAACACCACACAAAATACCTCCAGATTTGCTAACCGAAGGAATCCAATTTCAACAAAAACATTCCCCTGGATCAAATTTCCTCGAGAACTTAGAGGAAAATGCATTCTTCATTGTTTCCTGGATACCAATAAAATCTAAACAATAATCTCTAATCAAGTCAGATAAACAAGTTGCCATACCCTTCTTCCCCACCCCCGCCCCCCTACAATTCCAAAAGAGACTAATAATTTTTTTTCTTTCATTTTGGAGAGTGAGTTTTGCTGCTAGGTTTACCAAGAGGCATGGCCGTACCTGCATCAAAGCCCACTTTATTTTTCTAACTTCTAGTCATAGGTTTGGATATTACCACATTTACCTTCTTTTTCCTTCCTTCTAGATCTTACAATAGTGAAATCATCATCAATCTCACCATCTCTCATCCATTATATGTTTAAGGGAGATTTATCCCCAACAACATTTGTAATAAACAAAATCTTATCTTGTTGTTTCTCTACATTCTCAGTCTTTCCAGCTATATTAGCTCTAGATTTTTCTAGTTCCCTAATCACATCAACCACAGCAAAGTTGTTGTTAGGAATATCAACACCCATCATTAAAGTAGTAGACACAATTTTTAAGTTCGAAATGATCTCAAAAGAATTGGAGTTAGGGGTTTTTTTCATTACCTTGAAGATTTCTCTTCTTAGTCATTTTTTCAGCCTGAACTCCAATGTGTTCAATGTTAACAGTAGTTGTCCTCTGACTTAGCCTTCCTGCACTTCTTCCACCACCGGTGGAGTAGGAATAACATCCAAATTTTCCTCCCCATATGTATCAGGAGATTGTACAGAGTACAATGATGGGACTTGCTAACAAGTTATGTCATCAGGAGATAACTCAGTGACAAGGGTGTCCCACCACAACCTCCAAATATGATGTAAATTGTTTATTAACCAGAGTACTAGGTATGATCTGCATATAATTCACCATATTTTTTTCATATGACAGAGTTTCAGGGGACCCCACTCCCTCCATCTGATCTCTTATATTTTCTGTAACTATAGTATCAACAAGTAGATCATTGCTAATCTCCTCACTTTCTTCATCAAAAAAATTTCTTCATTGTCCCCTTGCCTTTTGTCAACCTACCATTCTCTTATAAGGTTTCCACTATAGTAGGCAAACTTGCTTTTCTCCCAACTGAATTGGGTGGAGCAAAGAAGTTCCGCAAAGTGGAGGAGGAGCCACCCTGCCCATCAGTTTGCACATTTTTAATGAATCTGGCCCTTTTAGGAGAGACTCCCCTGTCAACATCCTAGGACACGGTAATTCCTTCTTTGGGGGGATTTTTCACAATAGTCTTGTCCACTGAATAGAAGAAATTATCAAAATGGCCGCCTAGCACCCCCTCGGCCTTAATCGGGATATCTTCAGCATCTCTACATCCCAGCTTAATTCTGACCGACTCAGGTCTGTTAACAGTAGCTTTATCAATGTCTAAGGTGACACCAACCAAAGACCCAACATATGCAATATTTCTGTCATGTATTTTATCCAGAGGGATGTTGCTAACATTAACCCAAGCAATGTTAAGTACACCCTTGGCACCCATAGATTCATACCACTTTTTGAGACTCACAATAGCCCGACAACTTTTAATCTTCATAGTTTTAGCAAAGCAAGCCTTGTCAACATCCCTTGGTGAACGAAATCTCATGACAAAAGAATTAAGACCAATCAATCTAGCCGAGCATTTCTAGTTTGTGTTAATGCAAGCGTTAAAGAACTCTTCTAACTGTCTGCCAGTAGCCTGCCCCTCAACAATTGTGATCACAATAAACTTGTTCCTATTTGTGTTCTGATTAGGTGTGCTACCTCTTGAGCACTGCGTTGGATTTCCCCGAAGAGGAGAGGATGATGCAGCAAAGGAGCGTAAGTATTTCCCTCAGTTTTTGAGAACCAAGGTATCAATCCAGTAGGAGGCTACGCACGAGTCCCTCATACCTACACAAAAACAATAGCTCAATGCAACCAATGCACTTAGGGGTTGTCAATCCCTTCACGGTCACTTACGAAAGTGAGATCTGAAAGAGATGATAAATAATATTTTTGGTATTTTTGGTATAGAGATGTAAAGTAAAAAGTAAAAGGGCAAAGTAAAAAAGCAAAGCAATAATAAAGTGATGGAGATTGATATGATGAGAAAGAGACCCGGGGGCCATATGTTTCACTAGTGGCTTCTCTCAAGAGCATAAGTATTCTATGGTGGGTGAACAAATTACTGTTGAGCAATTGACAGAATTGAGCATGGTTATGAGAATATCTAGGTATGATCATGTATATAGGCATCACGTCCGAGACAAGTAGACCGACTCCTGCCTGCATCTACTACTATTACTCCACTCATCGACCGCTATCCAGCATGCATCTAGAGTATTAAGTTAAAAACAGAGTAACGCCTTAAGCAAGATGACATGATGTAGAGAGATAGTTTCATGCAATATGATAAAAAACCTCATCTTGTTATCCTCGATGGCAATAATACAATACGTGCCTTGATGCCCCTTCTGTCACTGGGAAAGGACACCGCAAGATCGAACCCAAAGCTAAGCACTTCTCCCATGGCAAGAAAAACCAATCTAGTAGGCCAAACCAAACTGATAATTCGAAGAGACTTGCAAAGATAACCAACCATACATAAAAGAATTCAAAGAAGATTCAAATATTATTCATAGATAGACTAGATCATAAACCCACAATTCATCGGTCTCAACAAACACACCGCAAAAAGAAGATTGCATCGAATAGATCTCCACGAGAGAGGGGGAGAACATTGTATTGAGATCCAAAAGAGAGAGAAGAAGCCATCTAGCTACTAACTATGGACACGTAGGTCTAAAGTAAACTACTCACACTTCATCGGAGGGGCTTGGATGATGATGTAGAAGCCCTCCGTGATCGATGCCCCCTCCGGCGGAGCTCCGGAACAGGCCCCAAGATGGGATCTCGTGGATACAGAAAGTTGCGGCGGTGGAATTAGGTTTTTGGCTCCGTATCTGATCGTTTGGGGGTACATAGGTATATATAGGAGGAAGGAGTACGTTGGTGGAGCTTCGAGGGGCCCACGAGGCAGGGGGCGCGCCCTAGGGGGGCGCGCCCTCCACCCTCGTGACCGCCTCGTGGCTTTCTTGATGGAGGGTCCAAGTCTCCGGGGTCTTATTTGATGAGAAAATCGCGTTCCCGAAGGTTTCATTCCGTTTGGACTCTGTTTGATATTTTGTTTCTCCGAAACACTGAAATAGGCAAAAAAAACAGTAATTCTGGGTTGGGCCTCCAGTTAATAGGTTCAGTGGCGGAGCTTGAAAGAAATCTTTGGAGGGGCAAAGCTTCAAAAAAGAAAAAAAGAAATACGAAATCATACAAATACAACAAGTTAGATATTGCAAATATCAAGTCACTGTAAGTATATTGATCTTCTCTAGATTAGCTTACAAAATACATTTCTAATCAGTAGAGAATCCGGTTCGCTGCAAAATACATTTGTAATCAGTAGGTGGATATTCCTAAATCTGTAAAGGACATTTTCTATTTCAGTATCCAATTGATAAAATCAATGAGCAGATGACCTAATTAGAATTTTCCTCCACTAAGGTATAGATTCACAACATTTCAACTTTTCACAATTTCCATAGGGGAGAGATTGAGAAAGATACAGAGAGGACAGTCTGCTCACATGGCTCACCGAGGCACTGTGCGGCGTCGACGGAGCGCGCCTGGTGCTGTAGCGGACAATCGCAGCCGAGCCAGAAGTGGATGAACCTGAGCGGATGAGGAAGGAGCCGGCCACCCGCCAGCGGTCGCCCCCACGGGCCACGGCGGCAAGCCACGGCTGCCAGTCTCCCAGACGCTGGTGCGGCGGTGCCCCAACCACGCTCAGCCATCCGCGCTCGCAAGTCAAAGGGGAAAAGGACTCTAGAGTTGGTCGCTGCCTGCCTGATCCGGTGGCTGGATTCGTTCGTATCCAGGGCTACAAGCATCGTAGACTAGTTGATAGGTGGGCCTGTGGGCTGTATGTAATACATACGGGTAGTAAAAAACTTTCACTTTCGCTGGGGGGGGGGGGCGACGGCCCAGGTTCGCCCCCACGAAGCTCCGCCGTTGAATAGGTTAGTCCCAAAAATAATATAAAAGTGGAAAATAAAGCCCAATATAGTCCAAAACAGTAGGTAATATAGCATGGAGCAATCAAAAATTATAGATACGTTGGAGACTTATCAAGCATCCCCAAGCTTAATTCCTGCTCGTCCTCGAGTAGGTAAATGATAAAAACAGAATTTTTGATGCGAAGTGCTACTTGGCATAATTTCAATGTAAATCTTCTTAATTGTGGAATGAATACTCAGATTCAAAAGATTCAAGACAAAAGTTCATGTTGACATAAAAATAATAATACTTCAAGCATACTAACAAAGCAATTATGTCTTCTCAAAATAACATGGCCAAAGAAAGCTATCCCTACAAAATCATATAGTCTGGCTATGCTCTATCTTCACCACACAAAGTATTTAAATCATGCACAACCCCATGACAAGCTAAGCAATTGTTTCATACTTTTGACATTTTCAAAACTTTTTCGATCTTCACGCAATACATGAGTGTGAGCCATGGATATAGCACTATATGTGGAATAGAATAGTGGTTGTGGAGAAGACAAAAGGAGGGGAAGATAGTCTCACATCAACTAGGCGTATCAACGAGCTATGGAGATGCCCATCAATAGATATCAATGTGAGTGAGTAGGGATTGCCATGCAACGGATGCACTAGAGCTATAAGTATATGAAAGCTCAACAAAAGAAACTAAGTAAATGCTTGAGGTCTTTGCCAAGTCTACGGGTTTGCGGGTCAACTTTAGTAAATCTTCGTTGATTCCAATAAATATGTCCGATGATGAGGGTAAGTGTGTAGATGCTTTGCTTGGGTGTGATGTTGGCTCCATGCCATTTGCCTATCTGGGATTGCCAATGGGTACCTCTCGGACCACAATTTATGACTTGTTGCCCGTAGTGGATCGCATTGAGAGAAGATTATCTGCTTCCTCTTGTCTGTTGAACCAAGGGAGCCGGCTACAAATTTTGAAATCTGTTCTTTGTTCTATGCCAATATATTTTCTGTGCACTCTCTCGTTGCCTCAAGGAATTTTGAAGCAGATTGAACGTATCATGCGGCAATGTTTGTGGAGGGGAAACACTGATACACCACGGCAATCATTGGCGGCTTGGGATTTGGTCTGTCGGCCTAAGAATCGGGGAGGCCTTGGAGTGCTTGACCTAGGCATACAAAACGATGCCTTGTTGATCAAGCATCTCTTCAAAAAATTTAATAAGTCGGACATGCCCTGGGTTTTACTCATCTGGGACACATATTATGATGTCGCACCGCCCCAAGTCACTCAAAGTTGTTGTTCTTTCTGGTGGCGTGACGTGTTGAAGCTGTATGACAAATTTTGTAAGTTGGCTGTCTGAAAGTGCGTTATATCGACTAGTGGGGGGGTGAATAGGCGATTTTTATGAAAGTCTTCAAAGCATGGAAGTTATGAAGACAAAGGATAGAAATAAACCTATTACCATGCAGCGGAAGGTAGACTACACTAGGCAAGCCATAGTCAAGTATTCAATGAAGTGAAAGCACAATGACTTAATAGCAGCAATGTAGTAAGAATCAGGTAGGAAGATATTATGAAGCCATACAGAACATGCAGTCACTCAGTGAAGACAAAAGATAGTGCAAACATACAATGACTTCACAAGGAGCAACAGTAAGTAAAGGGAAGGGAAGATGAAACCAGTGACTCGTTGAAGACAATGATTTGTTGGACTAGTTCCAGTTGCTGTGACAACTGTACGTTTGGTTGGGGCGGCTAGGTATTTAAACCTTAGGACACACAGTCCCGGACACCCAATCCTGAACACGCAGCTCAGGACACCCAGTCCTCACCGTAATCCCCTTGAGCTAAGGTCACATAGACCTCGCCCAATCACTCTGGTAAGTCTTCAAGGTAGACTCCCAAACCTTCACAGACTTCATTCACCAGAAATCCACAATGTCTCTTGGATGCTCAGAACGTGACGCCTAACTGGCTGGAGGATGCACAGTCCTCAAGTGTAATAAGTCTTCAGATCACACAGACAAGAAGACTTAAGTGATGCCCAACTCTCTCTGGCTCTGGGTGGTTAGGGCTTTATCCTCGCAAGGAATTCTCTCTCAAAGGCTTCGAGGTGGGTTGCTCTCAAACGAAAAAAGCCATACTCTCAATCTGAGCAACCAACCGTTTATGGTTGTGGGGGGTGGGCTATTTATAGCCACTTGGCAACCCGACCTGATTTGTCCGAAATGACCCTGGGTCACTAAGCAACTGACACGTGTTCCAATGGTCAGATTTCAAACTCACACGGCAACTTTACTTGGGCTACAAGCAAAGCTGACTTGTCCGACTCTGGACAAGATTCGCTCTCATAGTCTTCACTCGAAGACATAGGTTTTGTTTAGGCATCACTTCAGTCAGTCTGACTGGTTCTCTTGGACCCCACTTAACAGTACGGTGGTTCCTATG